CTCCAATTCGAGTAGGCTTGGAGGTCTCGGCCCCAGAACCTGCGTGGCTTTGTCCCTCTGCCAGTACCTTCATGTGTGCCGAGAGTGCCAGGGTAATATATTTATTATGTAATAGATAATATATTTTCCATAGCTCATTTTGAATATCATGAGAGTTCATGCGTGCGTGATTGTAAATGTAAATTTCTAGATTGTAAATGGTTGGTTTCCAGAGACATCTCTGTATGGCACTAATCCATTTTGGGATTCAACTGGGAGCCTCTGGGCCAGGGCCGTTGGTGCACTAAGATAGCATTCAGAAGCAAATTGTGGGCATGATAGCCAGTCTTCCAGGCAGGTGGTGACCCGGGGAGGGACAGCCCAGGTCCTCTGTCACCATGCGACCTGGAGATTTAGTCCTGAACCCGCATACCTGGGCCTTGCTTTGAAAGCTCTTGGCCACCGAGATTCCATCTGGAGTAGGCGGGGAGACTGCACCTGCTTCATCTGGGGTGCCTCAGTGATATTGGCTTGGTATGGGGCCTGGAGAGATCTCTGGTGCTGTAGTGTCTTCAGGACTTGCTGCTGTATCTCTGGGCCAGGGCTGTTGGTGTGCTAAGATTGTGTCCGGAATCTAATTGTGGGCATAACGGCCAATCTTCTGGGCGGTGGGGGACCTGGGGAAGGACAGCCCGGGTCCTCTGCTGCCATGCAGCCTGGAGATGTAGTCCTGGAGCCTGCATACCTGGGCCTTGCCTGTGGAATCTCTTGGTCACCGGAATTCCATCTGGAGTAGGTGCTGAGACTATACTTGCTCCATCTGGGGTGTCCCGGTGAAAACATTTTTGATCATTTTTTAGCAAATTATTTACAACAAGCTACACAAAATAAATTATTGAGGGTCTGCTATGGGGGCAAGCTAAAGGGAAAGGTGTAATGGTGATAGAATTGGTGTTGGAATATCTAATTTGTGTAGCAAGTCAGAATAAACAAATTTGTAAAAAATTGTTAATAAGTACATTTTTTAAAAAGAAAAAATGGGTCATGTGAGCACTGATGCACAAGTTGTATGAAATGGAAAGACGCGGATGAGGTGATGAGGAGTTGAGACCCACTGCACCATGAGTGAATGGAACTAAGGACAGCATCTCTGTTCTTTGCAGCCATTCAGGACGGCCTTGAATGAGGAACATCACCCAGGTCTCTGAGTTCCTCCTCCTGGGCCTCTCCAAGGACCCTGGGAACAGCAGCTGCTCTTCATTCTCTTCCTGGTTATGTACCTGGTCACAGAATTCCTGGGAAGCTCCAGCAAAGTTGGAGCATCTCCAAGAATGCCTGCCCTCGGGATGGACGCCAAAGACACCAACATGGAGCAAGACCTCCAGAGAGGGACCCCCATGTATGCCCACAATTGGCCTCTCTCCCCCACCTTCACCTCCCCTTCTCCCACACACTCTCGCTCGCTCACTCTCCGTGAATGCTGGAAAGAATCTGGAAGGACTGGTTTGTGTATGTAAAAAATCTCCAAGGGGCAGCCAGGGAGAGGCCCCGGTGGCTCTCCCCTTAGCCACCCACGATTCAGATTGGGCCCCCGGGGCCACTCGCCCAGTCAGGGCAGCCCGGGCCATGGGGCAGATGGTGGATGAAACGATGGCCAAGCCGATTGATTGATCAGACTCTGTTTATTCCATTCTCATCCCTATTTACTCCTGTCTCTCTCTCCTCTCCTGACCCCAGATCTGGAACCTCTTTCTCCTTCTGACTCTGGCTCTGGATCCTAATCTGATCCCCCTCTTACAGTCTAGTTAAATCCCCAAAACCTAGGGATTGGGGCTTACACATAGGTGTGGTCACAATCAATAGGGCTAAAGTTCTTTCTCTCAGGGGATGCTGCTTCTAAGACAGATTCTCTTTCAGCAGGACGACCCACCCAGGGGCATAATCCCATGGATATGTTTCTCCTCTCCTTGTCCAACAAACATAAGCATTCACAATATCAATCATTTTGTATGGACACAGTAATAGATGCATTAAGCTTATAGAATTATTCTCCTGGGGTCATCCTGGTCTCAGACTACAGTGCTCAGACCAGATTAGTCTTGCTATCCCAAGAAGGGTCGTTACTTTTGGATCATGACAGCATTTGTCCATGATCAAGCTCTTAACTTATAGTTAAGAATTGTGGCACTTTGGCCAGGCCCATCTTGAAGCCAGGGTAGCACATAGCTTACCGCTTGCCCTGGTTCCATCCAGTCCCTCGTCGGGACCCTGATTTTGGGGGCACTAGGAAGTGAGGGCAACTGAGGCTTAAGTTGAGAAAGCAGATGCCTGGGAATGAATAATATTCGAAGCCAATTAAAACCCAACAAAAGCATAATATTAATTGTCTTCTTGTGTCTATACAAAAGGATATTGCTTTAAAGTAAACTATTCAAAAGACATAAGGAGAGGAGAAAGGCAATATTAACTTACAATACAAGTTCAGTGTCCTAGAAAGATCTGACCTTACAAATTAACAGAAACTGGGGCTGGAGCGAGATAGCACAGCAGATAGGGCGTTTGCCTTGCATGCGGCCGACCAGGATTCAATTCCCAGCATCCCATATGGTCCCCCTGAGCACCGCCAGGAGTAATTCCTGAGTGCATGAGCCAGGAGTGACCCCTGTGCATAGCTAGGTGTGACCCAAAAACCTAAAAATAAAATTTAAAAAAAATTAACAGAAACTGATTAGGGGAATAAGCTGATTAACTGTTTGGGGAAGAGAGCATAGAGGAGTGGTTACAGATAAACAAAAGAATGGGAGTGATGGGGCTGGAGCGATAGCACAGTGAGTAGGGTGTTTGCCTTGCACGTGGTAGACCCGGGTTCGATTCCCGGGATCCCATATGGTCCCCTGAGCACCGCCAGGAGTAATTCCTGAGTGCAGAGCCAGGAGTAACCCCTGTGCATCGCCGGGTGTGACCAAAAAGCAAAAAAAAAAGAATGGGAGTGACTCGGGAACACTGTGATGGGTGTGACCAGATAAACCTAAGTTCCTTGTGGCAAGGGAGAAAGGACAAATCAATGTTATCCTACACATGTGACCTCCGCGACCATAGAAGACCAGAGATCTCAGATTCACCCTCAGTTTATGACATCATCATCCCACACATGTGCTCCCCTTCCATCCACTCTCTCCCCTCCCCAACCCCCATTCTTTCCCTCCTTTTCTCCTTCCTTTCATGAGATCACCAGTGTTGAGATCACCAGTGTCCTCCATCCACTGCAGATGTTCGAGAGCAGCAGGTCACACCTGGAACTGCTCAGGGCTTACCCTGGCTCTGCACCCAGGGACTGCCCCCTAACAGGGCTCAGGGGACCATATGAGTGTCAGGGATTGAACCCAGGTGGGCCACATGCCAGGAAAGCACCCTCCCCACTGCACTGCCTCTCCAGCACCTCATTTTTGTACTCAATGTCAGACCAGTTATAGAACATCTGTCTTTCTTTCCCTATATTTTTTACATATTCTAATATCCCACTGTCTATCTTTATTGCTGCAAATGCTACTTCTTTATGATAACTACAAACTCAGGTGGCTTGTCAACAAAGTGGATAAAAACCAAATAATTAGGGGTCAGAGCTATAGTACAGTGGAGACGGTGTTTGCCTTACACATGGCCGACCCAGATTCGATCCCTCATGTCCCATATGGTTCCCCGAGCACCCCCAGAAGTAATATCTGAGTGCAGAGTCAGGAGTAAACCCTGAATATCACCAGGTGGGACCCAAAAGGAAAACAAAAACAAATAATTAAGTTGCTAGATCCTTGAGAAAATCACCAAATTTAACATTGCCAAACTGGATGATGAGGAAGAGAACAAGCCTGAAACACAAATTTCATCATTAACTTCAACAAAATAAAAAATAGTTCAGACTACATTGGGATAAAGCAGATTGTTTATATTATGTAACAAAACATGAACAAATGGTACTCATGGATGATTGTGATGAATCAAATAGGAAGGGTTGTTTCTCATGAAATAAATGTCTCAATAGATCTTAAACAGAAAATTCACCATCAGTGAATTTTTTTTTCCAGGATCAAAAACCTTCTAGGAACCCTTTAGATGAGTCCAATGTCCTGTAAGCAGTTGGGGCTATCCTTCCTCCCAAAGTTTGTTATCCAATGACCATTACTAGGAGTGACAAAAGTGAAGGTAGTTCTAAAATAAAACACTAAAAATGATGCAAGACCTCTGCATCACTGTCACTGTCACTGTCCTCCCGTTGTTCATCGATTTGCTCGAGCAGACCCAGTAACGTCTCCATTGGAGACTTTGTTGTTACTGTGTTTGGCATATCGAATACATCATGGGTAGCTTGCCAGGCTCTGCCGTGCAGGCGAGATACTCTCAGTAACTTACCGGGCTCTTCGAGAGGGGCGGAAGAATCGAACTCGGGTCGGCCATGTTGGCTGTGTGCAAGGCAAATGCCCTACTGCTGTGCTATCGCTCCAGCCATAGATTATATATATATATATACATACATATATATGTATGATATATATACATATATATGTCTGATATATATATAATGACCTTCTTAGCAACTGAATAAAGTAAAATTAACAAGACAAGTTACCTACTCAATATTTTAAGGCATTATTGTGAGGAAAACAAAAAGCTCATCGTTGACATTGCAATGGCTTTTGAACTTTAGAACATTTTCTTCTTCAGCAGAACTACTTCCCCTGAACTTAACCCAAACAGGAGTTGAATCCTGAATTCTGATTTGAGGTGTCTCTTTTCACATTGTTGATTGTCAGGCTTCAGTGTTAGCACTGGAAAGTCAGATATTCTGTGAGCATCTGCTGAATCTTTATGCCTTAATAGGCCCCTAAATCATGGCAGATGCTCGGAACTGGAGTTAAGAATGTAAATAGCGGCATGAGGAAATATCTAGCACTAGTAATACGTGCAGAAACCTAGGAGCACGAGAAACATACTTAGACACAGCATGCCTTCTCAGCCTCACCCAGTCAAAGTGGCCTCCTGCTGACCAGGGCCGCCAGGGCACCCTTCATGTCCTTGTTCCGGAGGCTGTAGATGAAGGGGTTCATCATGGGGGTGACCACGGTGTACATCACCGCAGCCACTGTGTCCTTCTGAGCCGTGTGGGAGGACGTGGGACTAAAATACACCCCAATGAGTGTCCCGTAGAACATAGTGACCACAGAGAGGTGGGAGCCGCAGGTGGAGAAAGCCTTCTGCCGGCCTGACTTGGACGGGATCCTCAGCACAGCTGCAAAGATGCAAGTGTAGGAAATCAAGATGCCCATGAAGGGTGTGAAGACAAACAAACTGCCCACAGTGTACACCATCACATTGTTGATGAAGGCGTCGGAGCAGGCCAGCTTGAGCAGGGGGCTGAGGTCGCAGAAGAAGTGAGGGACCCTGTTGTGGGTGCAGAACGAGAGGCGGGTCAGTAATGCTGTGTGGGTCAAGGCGTTCACAAATGCAGCAGCCCAGGACGCCCCCACCAGCAGGCTGCAGAGCTGTGGGGTAACAGACGTGGCATAGTGCAGGGGGTGGCAGATGGCCTCGTAGCGGTCATAGGCCATAGCAGTCAGCAGCAAACTGTCGATATCAGCAAACAAGATGAAGAAGAACGTCTGGGTGAGGCAGCCGGCGTACGGGATCCCCCTGTGCCCTGTGACATGGTTGACCAGCATCTTGGGGATAGTAGTGGTGGTGAAGCAGATGTCCACAGAGGCCAGGTTGGCCAGGAAGAAGTACATGGGGGTGTGGAGCCGGGCGTCAGTGACAATGGCCAAGACAATAAGCAGGTTGCCCAGCCCCGTGACCAGGTACATAACCAGGAAGAGAATGAAGAGCAGCTGCTGCTCCTGGGGGTCCTCGGAGAGGCCCAGGAGGAGGAACTCGGAGAACTGGGTGAGGTTTCCTGCCTCCATGGCCGACCTGGAGCAATGAGAAAGGGAGTAGAGGAGCTGTCTGTGGTGTAGACCTAACCAGGATGAATATGAGCAAAGCAAGCGCCTTCCTCACTCTAAGATCTCTCTGGTCTGTGTTTTGATTTTATAATTTATTTTGATTGCTTCAAGACCCTTAAACTGATGGTCATATCTCACCATTTTAAATTGAATCCTTTCTCTGCACGGACACTGCCTCACACACTCTCACCACCCAGAACTGTGCCCCAGGGCTGCTCATCTGCTTCTATGGGAGCACCAGACATCACATGCTCCACGCCCAGCCTTTGAGTCTGCCTCACTGCTTTGAGATCCACACTCATACATGTGCCCATATGTGCACATACACACACATGCGCATGCACACACGTGCATGCACACACACACGCACACACTTGTATACACACACACACACACTCACACATACCTCCTGGTCCTGCTGACCCACTCACTCATGCAGAGAGGGCAGTGTGGGGTTAAGCACAGACAGCCGACCCCACCTCCGTTTGGTCAAGGTCTGAGTCCTGGAACCCATCCAAGAGTCCGGCCAGACCTTTGCCAGCTCTGCCTTTGAAGAACATGGAGCCAATGTGTGCCTCTGCCGTCCACCTCACCACTGGCCCCTCGATTGTCCTTAGCTAGTGGAGACGCAGGCAGTGTCCAGGCCTCTCTCTGGCCCCGCATCCTGCATCCTGGTGATGCATCTAGCCCCTCTTCTTCCCATCTCACCCCAGGTCCTCTCTTGTCCCACTAAGATGCTGGACCTGCCCCTTCTCTGCTCTCTCTCTCTCTTTTTCTTTTTTTGACTTTTTGAGTCACACCCAGCGATGCTCAGGGGTTACTCCTGGCTCTGCACTCAGGAATCACTCCTAGCAGTGCTTACAGGACCATAAGGGATACTGAGAATCAAACCCAGGTCGGCCGCGTGCAAGGCAGCACCCTACCCGCTGTGCTATCTCTCCAGCCTCTTCTCTGCTCTCTTGGGCTCCAGTTTGCTCCTCTAGTTCACTCTCCACATGGCACGTGCAGGGGAACCAACCTGGTACATCCTTTCTACAATGATGACCTTCCCATCACCCCAACATAGACCTGACATTTCTCTCCTGACTCCTGGCACCTGAGGCCTGACACCCCTCTCAGACACACACCCTACTTCCTGTGTTGGAGGAAGAGGCTCGGAGGACATCCTGAGCCTGGCATCTCTCTCTTGAGTCAAATATTTTCAATTCAGCCACACCAGACCCAGGGTGGGACTCTCACACAGGATTCACACACACACACACACACACACACACACACACACACACACACAGCCCGGGCTTCCTGTTTTACTCTCTGTGTGTCACACAGACCAAAGAGGGCGAGCTGTTTCCTGAAGCCCCACGACTCCCAGGCCCAGGCTTCCTGCCTGTGTGGAGACGCCAGGAGGAGGCCTTCGGCTCTTGCTGGGAGAGTGTCTGGGTTAAGCAGGACGTGGAAGCTCTTGCTTTACAGAGGATCCCAGGGACCCGGCGGAACCTGCTGTACTGCTGCGTCCCCCGTGCCTTGTTAGCACTCCTGTTAATTGTGCTCCACACCCGCCTCTAAGCGGACTGCAGGTCATCTGGGGCTCACCCTCTGCCCCTAAGGACTGGGCTGGACCCTGGATCCCCGGTCACTGAGGGCCTCAGTGAGCGATGCCTGATGCAACCTAGGTTTTGATTGCGCTATCTCAGATCTCACCATCCCCTGGCAGAGAAGACACGGAAGCCCCGTGTCTCACACATGCTCTCATCACCCGGAGCATGTGGCCCCGTGGTAGTCTGACACTGCTTGTCACCCGCATCTAGGGGAGTGTGCCATAGGCATCTCACACAGAGAATCAGGCTCCACACATGGCCTTCGTGTCTGACTCACACTTCTGGGGACCCTGAGGCCCAGGCGCAGCCTGTATGCTGGCTCCCTCAGGGCACGGTTGTCCATGGTCGGCCACACGCTTGTGACCATGACTGTTCTGCCTTTTGCCATCATGAATGGTGCCGCTAAGCACAGCCTGCACAGGCACATGTGTGCAGGCACGTGTCAGAGGAGCAGAGTGGCTAAGTCCTGTGGCCATCCTGTGATTGTTGTGGGAGGAACCTCGGCTCCCTTCACATCCCCCGAGACATTTGTCCCGTTGTGGTTCTCACCCTTCTGGGCTCCTGGGTGTCTCATTGGGTTGTGGTCTGGTTGGTTAGTTGGTTGGTTTGGGGGCCACACTCGAAAGTGCTCAGGGCTGACTCTGGGCTCTGTGCTCAAGGATTACTCCTGGTGGTGCTCAGGGGATCATATGGGATGCTGGGAATCGAACCCGAGTTGGCCACGTGCAAGGCAAATGCCCTACCCACTGTGCTATCGCTCCAGCCCCTAAATTGTTTTTAAAGTCACAGCTAACGGGATTATGAGCAGAAGCTCCTCCTGATCATTTGCCAAACTCCTGGGAGACTGTGGCTGGAGCCACGGCAGCAGCGAGGGCTCTGGGCAGCCGATGGGGGTTAATCTCCGGCATTCCTGAGAGAAAATGTGGATGAAATTCATAGATGCAGTCACAGAACAGAAACAATATTCCATCACCATCCTAGCATATACGCCCCACACTCTTTTGCCATAAGAGGTCGTCTGATGGCTTTCCAGGGACAACCTTATGAGTGTCCTTGGGCCACCTGGGCCACGGCCTTTCATTAGGGAAATTCTAGGAGTCTAATAGAGTATTCGCGTCTGGTTGGTTATTCATCCTTCCATGCTCCAGTTCCCACGACTCGGCATTGGCATCACAAAGCAGAACAACAGACAGCCCAGAGCACAAGGAGTGGCTGTGGCAAAGGCACTGCCCCCCAGAACACGCGTGTTGGGTACATGGCTTAGTGACGTGAGCTAAGCAGAAGGCGATGCCAACTAAACTCCCATGATGCTGAGACCATCCCTAGTCAGCCCAGGTGCCAAGTGAGAAAGACAGCCTGGCCCGACTCTCTCTGCCCGACCGGGAGTGGCAGGAGTCCCTGTGTGACTCAGGGCTGCTGCTCGTGGTGAGCAATTAGGAGACAATGGGCGGAGGACACGAGACACTATTGGGCGACCCCCAACTGTCCTTTTTTTTTTTGGCTGTGCTCAGGGGACTATATGGGATGCTGGGAATCGAACCCGGGTCGGCCGGGTGCAAGGCTAGTGCCCTACCCACTGTGCTATCACTCCAGCCCCTGCCATTGACTTTTATGGACATGCATTTATTTTAAAGCCAAACCTTGCACGATGGCATGGCCAGGATAACCAGAAAGAATCACCTGAGAGTCTCCGCCTCAGGAGGGATAAAAAACACACAGAACCCCTCAGTTACACAGAAAATCACAAGGGGCTTGGGTGGGGAAATCTGCCGGAGAACCCAGTCATTGTGCAGGGGGACAGGAGGGTGGCCCATCGAGCTGCACCAACATCAGCCTTCAGAGCAGGAACTCAGCAGTAGCTGCCCCCAGGCCTATCCCGCAGTCCCTCCAAGCCGAGATCTGTGGGTGTTCAGAGAAGAGCAGGAGAACAATGACCGGGTGGCCAGCCATATGGCAGCTGGCACTTTCAAATGTGACCAGCCTCGCGGACTGATAAACACAGATCTGCATAACAACAATCATAAACAGATGGCAAAACTCAACCCCGAAGTCAGGCACTTCCTGCTCCCGGAAGAAGTTCAGAGTGAATGTCAGGTCCAAAATGCATCATGATGCCGGGAGAAAGGGACTCTCCTTCACTGCTGGTGGGAACGCCGACTGGACAAGACTTTTTGGAAAACAAGATGTACATGCCCCAAAAATCTAGAAATTGAACTTTCCTATGACCCAGCAATACAAGTCCTGGGAATATATCCTGGAGATGCAAAAAACACAGTAGAAATGACATCTGCACTTGTATGTTTATTGCAGCACTGTACACAATAGCCAGAATCTGGAAACAAGCTGAGTTCCCGAGAACAGATGACCGGTTTAAAAAAACTCTGGTTAAAGAAATTCTGGTACATCTACACAATGAAATACTATGCAGCTGTAACAGAGAGAGATGAAGAGAAGAGAGTTGTAACAGAAGAGATGAAATCATGAAATTCGCATATAAGCGGACCGACATGGAGAGTATCATGCTAAGTGAAATGAGTCAGAAAGAGAGGGACATAGAATGACTGCACTAATTTGTGGAATATAAAGTAGCACAATATGAGACTAACACCTAAGGACAGTAGAGCTAAGGACCAGGAGGATCACACCATGGTTTGGAAGCGGCACCACATGTTGGGGGAAAAGACAGTTGGGATGGAAAAGGAACCACTAAGTAAATGATGATTGGAGGGATCACCTGGGATGGGAGATGCATGCTGAAAATAGACCAAGGACCAAACACAATGCCCCCCCCCAGTATCTGTATTTCAAATCATAATGCCCAAATTTGAGAGAGAGTAAGGATTGAACCTGCCACAGAGGCAAGGAGTGGGGTGGAGTGGGGGTGGCGAGTGGGACACTGGGAACAATGGTGGTGGAAAATGCACACTGGTGGAGGGATGGGTGCTCGAGCATTCCGTGACTGAAACACAATCATGCAAGTTTGTAACTGTATCTCATGGTGATCCAATAAAACTTCTTAATTTAAAAAAATGCATCATGAGTTAATTGGAAATAACTTTTAATTAAGCAAATTAAAGTCATTATTTAATAACTCATGAACAAAATATGCTTTAAAATGTTGACACATCTCCTCGCCCGCACGGGGTCCTGACTGTCACGCCCACAATCTGTGTCCAGACGCCATCTCAGCGCATCAGCGGCCTTGATGCAGAGTCACAGCTGTGAATCCCAGAAGAAAGCAGCTCACCGGAGATCTCTCCAGACCCCATACCGAGCCAGTTCCTCTGGGGAACCTCAGATGGAGCAGGTGTGCCCTCTCCAGATGAAACCCCGGAGGCCACGAGCTTCCAGAAGCGAAAACCA